AGAAGCATCATTTCATAAGCCTCTTGATAACCCGAATTCCAATTTATATACCAACCATTAAGTGTCAATCTTCATTAAACATGAGAATTGGTCATCATCATCGTCCTCTCCTGCCCACCATTTTTTTCCAGACTTGCACACTGACCCAGCAGATTATTTTTGCAAGTCAATAGTCAATTACAAGTCATTCGTCATTTACAATTAAGTAAATATGCAAATGATTACATATTTCACTGGACTTAACTGTATTTTTGTGAATGGAAAAATGTCACCGGTATGACATTGCCAATAAGTCAAAGGTGGAAAAACCTACATAAATACGTATGCAAATTCATATTTTTAGCAGAAAAATGGTCCCGACAGGTGTAGCAAAAATGCAACCTACGTCACACCTTGCACTTATCGACTATTATTAACTGAATCGTTAACCAGATAAGTTTCGGGTAATCAGGGTTGCTGCGGAGGAGGAGGACGACATGTGTTGGTACATGTGTAAAATAAAAACTTGATAAGTAGGTAAACACGATATCGTCCCATTCACCCATTGGAATTCGGGGGTATCGTCGTTATTCGTCGTGACCACAGATAAGTGAGCGGAGGTTATCATCCTCCTCCATGAATGAGGAGGATATGTATGTACAGTTCAATTCCATGAAAAAATCTCATCTGTACAACAAAATAACAATGCAGACCCGTCCGATATTTACGTCATCGGCTGCACTATTCAATACCATCGCATCGCACCATTAATTATATACCCAGGCTTAAATAATACTTAATCGAATGCAGACACAATGACAACAAAATTCGCGGAATTGACCGATTCCTGATAAATATTTATAAGCATGCATGCCTGGCTTTAATTACACGAATTTTGAATGCAACGCACCAATAAATCGGATGATGATGAGTACAATCCGCATTCCACCAACGAGATGATGATAAAACTGACTTATCGAGATTTTTCGGTTAAGGACAATTTTACAACAGGATATTTGGTAGGTAAAACTACTGGATTATCGAACAACGTTTTGCTTAGGATATGGCGTAAGCGCAGATATCACGTTACATAGATTGACGTGCGTATGTAAATATGTACCCTACCAGTCACATCACTTTCGACGGACTGAATTTGTTTACCAACATTCCCATTTAAAACATCGGCACGGATTTGATAATCAAGTCCATGTTGGCTTCTTCTTCATCCGTCATTGATTAGTAATGATATGCAAAGTAGGAGGAGATCCGTGCAAAAAAATGAGTGTAATAATACGCACATGGATGGATTGGATCACCTCAAGATTATTTTTATCTTGTCGAGCCAGAGAAAAATTGCGAGTGCTTAAGTACATACTTTTTTTTACGTAATCATCACACCCGCCCGTGAAATAATTAGCTTATCTGCTGGAATCATTGCTCCCAATCATTCCACCAACCAGGTTGGTGATGTAATCGGGTGCAATTATCTATCCACTGTTTTTGCAAGTGTTGTTGCACTGGGATTTGCAATTTTTGCAATCAGAGGACATCTGTCAAAGAGATAGTTGATGTCGCGTTTTAACTTTTGGCATGATTTGTGGCCTCCTAAATTTGATGCTTAATGGGGATTTGAATTAGCATTTTTGCGGATAAACCGGAGGAAAAGAAGGTTGCAAAAAGAAAAGGAAAGTACCGGTGGCGAGTATCATTTAGCATAATATTTGCCCACATTATCATAGCAATATTAATTAGCACACCATACATACGACCGCATCGCATCATTGTTTGAACAGGATTGTCGTATGAAAGTGATGAATCTGATTCATCGTGTGGAAATAGCTGCCAATCCGAACCTCTGGAATGGGCCAACACCTCCAAAACAGGACAATTTCTGGGAACCCCACTTATCAACTTGGTCGAGATCACATCATTCCGTGCGCGTTTGGGATAAGCAGTGCAATTCTGAAATGTATAATTACTATTCCAATATTGTTATCTGGGAAGAGTTTTAGCGCATTGGTGAAGAAGTTTGCACCACGACAGGCTGCTTAGCTAATAATGCGAATGTGTCAGTTGCTAACCGCAGATTTCGAGTGGGCGAATTTTAATTTGTGAATGCCAAAAATAGGGAGGCCATATTTTTACAGTTTTCTTAATGCGCGAATTTGACAATGTATGAAAATGTATGTATGAAAATTTAAAATTTAAAATTTTTGATGAATCTTAGGATTTTTTAAAATGCAGAAAAAGGCATAAAATTCATAAAACCAAAAAATTATTAAAAAGCATTCTCGAAAATTCAATAACATAATTCTGAACATACATGTTTTTCAACTTTTTGAAATCGTGCTAAAGTTCTAAAAGATTATGAACATATTTATGTACATGTTTTCGATTTGCCAGAATTCTAAAAGTTCCAGCCTTTTGAAAACCAATGATTTGGACTGCAAATAATTTTAAAAATTCCCCCACACAGTCAAATTCGCACATTTCAAAAAATGAAAAAATATGTACACGTCTGCTTATTTCTGACACTAAACAAATTAAGAATTTAAGATTAGTCCCGTCCAAATCTGAGCTTAGCCACTGACACCTTCACCTCCTAACTATGTACACACGTTAGATAAGATTTGATGTATGTACATCTACATCATCTTCTTCTCAAGCAGGAATATGTAACAAGGTGATGAGATAATGGGGAATTACTTATCCTCCATGTCCGCAGTCCAGTCCATTAAATAGATGACAACATGTGTATATTTATGAGGAGAGTACTTTCCAAGTAAATCCATCAACTCTCTACGGTAGAGACTCTACCAGTGACCAGCGTCATAATAATAATGCATGCATGCCGGGTTTCCAACCTTCAGGGGCATTTTATTATTTTCGAAATAATAATGTTTACCCTAACAATTAAGGTTCACACGTATCATAAATCAATGACTTATTCAATTAGGAAGCACAACAACCTGTCAAAAGGACAATGTCGTCTCTCTATTTTTGGTTGGAAAAGTCAACACAAAATTGCATTTAATAAGTAATTTTGTCAAAATTTTTGACACCTTTTTTGATGCGGGTAAAATTGCTACAAATTTTTACCCCCTCCTTATGCCAAAGTTTTATTGATGTGGTCTTTATGATTTTAATGTTTTTTGAAAATAAATACTTGACTTTGGACTTAGTTAATCCCTTGAAAAATAAGTTTCTGGAGTTAAATAAAAGGTATCACCATCAACCACCACCCATCGGGCAATCTTAAAAAAGCGAGATTATGAAGGATTATTATTCCGTAGGGTTCGGTTTGACAGGATTAAAAAAAAGAAAAATGACAACAATAAATGTATCAATAACCTCCTAACGCGACGAAAATTCTACCCTTCTAGTTATCAATTCGTTTAATTTTTTTTTTACCAACCGCTGAAAATACCAATTAGCGCCACCATTAAGAAGAAAGAGGTGCCAACAAGTAAACCAAGTCATATTTAGAAAAATTAACGGCCATCAGCTCAACACGTAGTCATAAAACGAAGTGAAAAATACCATGTCATTTCCTCCCTACAGATTTTGAGATCATTGACGATTTGAGATTGTTTAGTATGTATTTTACCCGGTAATTGACGACAGACCGAATTATGAGGAAGCAACGGATCCAAAATACACAATATGTTAATTGTTTACCTACATAATGTTATGGACAATGGCATCGGTGTAGGTAATAAATGATGATGATGATGAAACAATGTTAAAAGATGATGATACATAAATGTCCATAAACTAAATGCGTATTGCTTCAACAAGTTCATGAGGCATTCAGTGGCCGCGGAAGCCGTGGGGACATCTGGGAACATTAACATTGTATGATAGGGGAGGGACGGGTTTATATAAGATGATGCCGACATTGTCCCCTCAAGCTTCCGCGGCCACTGCGTGTATGCAAAAACTGTTTGGTTTTAAGTTGTCGTCGTCGTTGTCGTCGTCATTCGTTATGTCAACATTAAGTAGTAGAATAGGAATTATGATTGCATAAAGTGTTTAGCAGGAGTTATTTAGACATGCAATTAAATGTGGGAAAGATTGCGGATGGATCTTGTTCCGTGAAGCCAATTAATTTCATTATTTGAATTAAATGAATAGGACAAAGCAAGTAAAAAAAAAGTAGGTATTGTGAAAGAATTATCTTCCGGAACTGGAGGAAGGGAAGATGCGTTGATTGATGGACAAACGCATTGTGGTTGAGATGAATTGATTGGATGATGATGATGATTAATTAAATTGTGGTCAATAATTCACGTAATTTTAAATGGCTAAAGTTTAACTGACTCACTCATCTCGGGCATTGCATTTATTTACTGACTCATCCGGACTTATGTATGTGAAATCGGACAGGCAGGAATTAATTGAATTTAGTTTGGTTTATCTTTTTTTGCAAATAATAATGCCGATAATTTAGAGGACCCAATTAACAAATAATTAATTAGGATTGTTATAATATTTAACTTCATTTATTATTCATGAATCACAGTTCATGATGAATTTTGCATACATTTTTTGTAAAGGGCTCGGCCACATGAATCGAAATTAAATAAATAACTGAACATTAATCTATTTGATGACTCAATGTGTACAGCAAACAGGGCACATTAGATGAAGAGATAAAATAATAGAGCATTACATTGCAATATTATTACTGTTATTATCTAAACAAGCGTGATTGCAAATTATGTATATCATGGAACTTAATAAATCATCCATTTGACTATTATTATTATAGTTGTCAAGTGGATGAGTAAACTTAACTACTGTCTGTTGTTCTTTTTAAATATGGACTGTTTTTGAAAATTGGGTTGGGGGGGTATTTAAATTACATTTACATCATTTAGTAGCAACCACATTTCCGAAATTTTTAAAAACAGTGCACATTTAAAAAAAGTAGTCCTACTTATCAATTCACATTATAAACCATGATACAACTAATATTTAACATTTAAACAACACTTAAAAAATAACAAAAAACAACATACCAATCTCGTCCCCATGACCCATCTTAGCCAGGGCGACTAAAAGATCAGGCGAAATGCAGGGAGGAACCCCTTTTAAAAACCCCATCTTAACGATAAGCACAAAAACTGTCGAAACAAAATACTAGTAATACTACACAAATAATATTATAAACTACTACAATTTAATTAATTAACAGCTGCAACTGAAAAACAAAGCAATACTTTTATTAAACTTTAAACTATACTTGAGAAATTAAGTCAAGTGGTTTATTTACTTAATACTTACGTGTCCCTCCCGATATTTACCGAATCAATATTTTTGCAATACTTTTTGCACACGATGCAAAAACCACCACCACCACGTAGAAACGGAAAGTTAACGAGAGAAGATTAGCGCGGAATTACGCCGGCCGGTCTCGTTCCACCTCGCACTTGTTGTCATTTGCATAAATATGAAAACACAACAATTTGCATATTATCATTACATAACAATGTCAATTAGATCATGTCATGATATAAATAAACATTACATATTTAATTAAATTCAAAAAAAGAAACCCCTTTGAAATGAATGGAAACGTTTTTTTCTCGCACTTTTGTTAAAATTAACCTTTGACACTGCATGGCCTCGATGCTGACGATGCTTGAGAAAGAAACCCTTCAATCAATCAGCGGTTGGTGGAAAAAAGGGACCACCTTTGTTGCTTCCCTAATTAACAGGTAGACAGACAGGTAGATTTTGCTCCGGGTATGTATTTTCATGTTGAGTTCAACCAGGTCGAATCCCGTCCTGACTTGAAAAAACCCAACTCGGGACGTTTCCCTGCCCATGCTTTTCAAAGATGACGATGACCTCTTCTTCTCCCCATTTTCCATCAATTGTCAAGTCTTAATTGCAATTAAAATAATTAAAATAATTAAAAAACCAACCCAACCCATCAAATTCATAGCGTGGATTGGATTCTGGATTTTTATATTTCCGAAAGATTGTCTCCCTGGACACGGTCGCAAAAAAAAGTTGCAGCTGGTCCTTCATTCATTTATTTGCCGTCAATTTCAAGTGGAGGTGGACAAATTCCAAGTTTATTAAATTCCCAAGTAAAATTAACACCCCAATTAAAATTTATTCGCGTGTCCACCCTCCATCCCTAAAAGAAAATTGTATTGCGTCCAGTTTTTGTTTTTTGAATAGTCTTCTGAATGTTGGGGACATTTTGGAGAAGTTGCCTCCAATTCAAAATTGTTTGTGTGAAGGATTTTGTACTCGTGTGGCGTAGCACGATATTAATTATAGTTAAGAAAGAAGAAGAACAAGGACAACTTCCGGACGCGAGGAAGAAGTATAAGAAGAAGAATCATCATCATTATTGAGAAAAGTTGTGAGTTTGTTTAACACACACCATCGTCCATGTTAAAGTGGTCTGCATTTCATGGTAATGTAAACTTTGATTTTGTTATTATTTATTTTGTTTTTAGTTAAGTTGTTATCTTGCGAAATGGAATGTGTATGTGGGAAGAGATTCATGATGTCGTCATTGTTGTCGCATCATCAAGGGTGTCTTATCATTATTGTTATCCTCAGTTTAAGGGTTATCCTGCGAAATGAAATGTGCACATGGAAAAAGATTCAGGAAGTCGTCATCGTTGTGTTATCATTATAGTTGCCTTCAGTTTAAGGGTTATCCTACGAAATGAAATATGTACTGCAAAAATAATTATGATGTCGTCATCGTTGCCTTATCATATTGTCGTCCTCAGTTTAAGGGTTATCCTGCGAAATGAATTGTGCACATGGAAAGAGATTTATGATCTTTATCTTATCATCATCGTTGTCTTCAGTTTAATTCGTGTTTTATGTTCAATATTTAAGTACGGCGTTTTCAAGTTCTGAGACATTTTCACAATTTTTAATTAAGTGTTATTAAGCGGTCTGGTCTATTTTGGTCCTGGTCTGGTCTGGTGGGTGGGTGGGTCACCACTGTGGTCTGGAATGTTTGTTATTAACACTCTTGATATTTATTTTGGGTATTTTTTTCTCTCTCTTGTGACGACAAAGACCAGACCAATAATCAACCAATATATATATTTTTATGACATGAAAAATGAGTGAAAACGAAGGTTGGTATTTTATTTTGACGGTTTGTCACATATGTACATTAACGAAACGAAAACCTTTTTTCCTCCGAGTTTTTTTTACCTGTTTTTAGATAAATACGTATTTTTAATTATCTCGCCTTTTCGTTTCGAGTGTTGTTATTCCATTCCATGAATTTTTATGAAAATATGTACCCGCTTCCTCCCTTTGATTCATTCATTCCAAGAATGTGGATATTATTATGCCTAAAAATAATGAATATTTTGGGTTTAGAAGGTAAAAATAAGTTCAACTTGGAATGTTCATAACCTTTCGTCATACATATTTTCTCACCTTTTCATCTCCGTCTATAATATCTCTGTGTTAGGTTATGTTATCCGATTTCTGGTTGAGTCATCATGGGTAAAACATGAAACAGAATCAGTTATTGAATACCTGTAACTAATTACGGATATAAATTGTATTATGCAAATTTGATATTTTATGCAAATTGGGCACATGTACCGTGATCTATGTACGTATGTAAGCACTGGTGCCATGCTGGTCGCCGGTGCAATTAGTGAATCTTAAAACTTTAAGCAATTTGTCACTCTTTCTGTCTGCATGCATACGTTTTCCTTGGTCGTTGTCATCATTTTCGACATATTTCTACATTCTTAACGCATTGTTGGCAGGTAGATATGAGGGGTAAGAAAGTAGCTGTTTTGTTAACATTAACCAAACCACACACGACACGTTAGAATGACTTGATTTGGTGGTGGCTTGGCTGGGAGCCGGTAATGGCATGCATGCACGTGCATATTGAGATTCATTCATTTACGTATGCATATGCATTTACAAAGACGAATCGTTCTCATTACTTGTAATACACTTCCTTTTTGGCGTTCTGTTCATTCATCTCAAGTGGTGGTGGTGGTGGTAGGCGAGGTAAAATAAAGGTAAAGGTGACTTAATAATACTGCTGAATGGATAGAATTCCTCGTGGCCGGACGTTCGTTTGTACGTTAAGAGGTCAATATCAAGTTCCTCTGTGCATGGGCTTTGACGTATGCGTTTTCCGTGTGTCTATGTACTAATTTAGGGCAAACAGAATACCGACGACTTGGAAGACGACGACGACCTTTAAACCTTGAATTATGCGGCAGTCAACGAACCGAACCGGTGATGGTTGTGTGGAATGGAATGGAATTTTACTTCTGATTGATTTTGAGGTAGATGTCCCATAATGATGAGCGTGTATGTATGTAAATGGGGAGACTTACAAATTAAGTAGTGCATGCGGCCAGCAGTGGCGGCGGAAGCGTGGCGACAGAGCGACAATGTCCTCATCATATCCCCATTTTATATAAACCCCTGCCTCCCCCATCCTACCGTGTTAATGTCTCCAGATGACCCCACGGCTTCCGCGGCCACTGGCGGCTAGTGGACGTGGACCACTCGGCGTCTAGACGGAGAGGAAAGCTACAGAGTCACTGGAATGATCCATGTGCTAGTCATCTTTGCATTTTTTTCCGTAAAAGGTCTCACATTAGGAGAGTCGTGGTCGTGATTTAAGTTGCACATGGATACGTTTGGTCATCTCATCTCTTCTTCCTCTGACTAGTTTGCATCATTTCTTTTGCCAGGAAATGTAGATTAAGGAATGATGAAAGAAATGAGCTTGGCGCCGCCGTTAGTTCGTTCGTATACTTTACGGATTATTTATTAAAGGTGTGCGTGGGACTTGGTCTTCAAGTTATCGATTCCTCGATGCCATTATTCATCGTCATCGACTATTTCGCACACAGTCATCATCATCGACCGCCTCCACATTAGGCAGGCATGCAGGCAGGCAAGGATCTTGTTATGTGTGTGTACGGCATGGCACGGAGGGAAAGGTCATGGTTCCCCCTTCAGAGTAACCTGTCTTCTTACTCATGCATAATATATACAGGCAGACAGACGACTCATGGCGTGATGTGAAGGTGTGAGCGGTTAATTGCGGATTACGATTGCGGACCAATTGCAATTTTTTGTAATGACAAAAATAAGCAGATTTTGCATTTTTTAAATTCGCGACTTTGATGGCTTGGTGGAATTTGCAAAATTATTAGAAACCATGGGGGTTTAAAAGGCGGTAACTTTACGAATTTTGGCATGATTTCGAAAAATGGAGAATAGAAGTATACGTTATTGAAATTTCTTTTTCAAATTTTTCTTATTTTTTAGCCTGTTTCTGAATTTTGAAAAATTCCAAGATTTAACAAGCATTTTAAAATTTGCATACACACATTTGCATACGCGTCAAATTTGCACATTAAGAAAAATACGAAAATACAAGTCTGCTTATTTTAACCACTGAACAAATTATAACTTAACAATTGGTCCTATCCAAATCTGCGGTTAACCGCTGACACCTTCTCCCCTCAGACATAACTTGCACTCCATAATTTCGCACAAGTAACCATCCTGTGTATAGTGGTGGCCTAGCCAAATTCGCATTTTGTGAATGAATGAATCAATGGATAGTAAGCGCGTGCCATTTTCAGTTTCGCCTATAACGTTTCCCAAACTGTGCCAAACCATTCATCCACACATTCTGCTGCTGCTGCCTTTCTGTTAATCCTGTTTCGCAGTATTTCGTTCCCACACGCAGAATTGTATACGTACTTCAACCACATTTGCATTACATTACTTATGTTAACCATGCACATGCACTCGCAAACTATTATTATTTATGCTACACTTTTGGCTGGCTGGCGTCCCCGTCATATTATCATCACTCACTAATGTATACACATGAATGTACGTATCCCGTATGCATATTTTGTTGCGATGAATCATGCACTTTTTGAACTTTACGCGAAAATCTTATTGTTTATATGTATGTATGATGAGCTGGCTGTTCGCACACACGTGAATGACGCGAAAAAAAAATTTGTGTGCAAAATATTGGCACGCCTTTGATGGAAGGTCGTGTGATTACGATTTCGAATAAAAATGCTTCTAAAAATACCGCTATTTGACGTATCTAAACACGTAATTTTGATCCAATACGTACAAGTGCACATTATAAAGTGTAATGATCTGAATAAATTTGTACCTGTCGTCGTGCACATGACGATTTATGGAACGAAAGGGAAATTGAGGTAGACTCAAATCCTGTTAAGATTGCAATTTAGAGATTGTATGTATGTACCGCATTTTATGAGGGATTCCCATCATCCATCCATTCATGTTCATTAGCAATTCTTTAGAAGACAATTATGTCCAACGAGTTATGAGAAAGATTATTAGTTGGCAGTAGGATTTGATTAAGTTGTGAGTATTGCAGAGCAGAGCAGAGCAGTCAATGCAAATATGTGGCGTGCGAATAATGAAGAATGCCGCCGAGCTGCTCGATTTTGCTAACGTAGTAAATGTTTCAGAGAATTTGATGATCTGCTTTCGTCATCAAAACGAGAACGCTATCTATCTCTCTAGATCCTGTGTGTTTATAGCTGTTCTTCGCAATATGCCTATTTTTTGCGTGTCTTTTTTTCCCCTGGTCAATTCTCTATCTAGCAAGAACTGCATGGCTGAATTATCCCTGTCTCACTCATCCGTATTCTGAAGAACTCTACTTTTTTGTCCTGCCAGTGGGTGGGTGAAATGCAGTATTATTATGTTGCATATGTCCTCAACAAGGTCTTCAATTTGCTAAATGAATGCAGTGGCCGCGGAAGGACAATGTCCCCACGGTTGTTCGATGTCGGCATCGTCTGCCCATCTTATATAAACCCGGCTCTTCCCCCCTATCCTACAATGTTAACGTCCCCCACGGCTTATTCCGCGGTCACTGTACATGAATGGATGACTAGCAGAGTTTGTATGTGTGTGAGGACGAGTTAACTCGATCAGTTAACTGTTATATTGTTCTTTAAGCTGTTGTAATCTGTTGCTGTTATGCTACTGCTGCTGCTGGTGAGTGAGATGAGATGAGATTTATGCATGTATTGTTATTATTATTATGATATGAGACTGATGACAAAGTGAGATCTACATGAATGAATCTTTGTGTGTGTGGTGGTGGTATGGTGGTCGTGTTTGACTTTGTGTGTGTGCATAGTTGCACTAAACTGAACTGTTACGTATGTATTGTACTTACTTATCTATTACTTGTTCCCACTACTGACTCTGATGCACATTAAGTCTTGAACTTGAATTTATTGTTTCTGCAATCCATTCATTCATTTATTCCTTTATTATTCGTAGTACTCTGGATGTGGTCTTGGCACAAATGTATTTTTTTCTGGTGGTTTCGTTTTTTTCCGTTCATTCATCTTTTGCCAGTCAGGTGGATGAATCATAAGTAATAAACTTTACGAAATTCCAGGGATTGATTTTGCACAGATTCATTTTTTACAAGGCCTTTTCTTTCACTCCTAAATACAACCGACACACAATTTTTTTTAACGTAACACAAAAAGGGTGACAAAGCCTGCCCGCAGCTTTTGTGTCTGTGTATCTGTCTGTGCCAATTTTTGATGATTCATTCGCCATGTTTTTAAAAAAGAGGAATCATCCTCGCCACACGATATGAACTGGATTGGGAAAGGTCGATGGTATGAAGGAGTCCGCTTGGCTGAAACGGTTATGTGATGTGAATCACCCGGTTTTTTTTACTGGAGTCCTTGCACAGTGATTATGTATGCATGCATCAATCTGAGTGGCTGAAGTTTACCTGGAAATGTGTATCTGCATGTATTTATGTTGAGGTGGATCATGATGATGATGATGATGCGGTGGTGGTGGTGGTGGAATGAGTGAGTGTGCAAAATTTGACACGAATCCATCATAAAAATGTATATATGCATTTGACTTCTAAAGCACATATTTTTATCGCTCTGAATAGAACAATACATAGATTTACAGATTTATTTAGTGAATTAAGCTCCCTCCTCAACGTTCATGAACTATGGATGAGTTTGCAAATATTGTGCAAGTTCATGATCGCTCATGACAAATCGAATATAGTTCAACGAGACTAGACCAAACCACGTGAGAAAGAAAAACGTAACGTAACGTAAAAAATTGGCTAGCGTTTTGTTATTGTATCGTGCAACTTTCGTCTCACTTGCAACACGGTGGATAGAAATGTATGGAAATTCTTTGACAGCGTGTGTAGTGTGCACATGGGCATACGAATAATATGTAGGCAAAGGTGAATCGAAGTGGTTTGGTGGTGAGTAATAACCCATTACTCTCGAATAAACGTATGCATGCCTCAAGATTAGGATTAATTATGTATGACTTGGGATATCCCACCGGCCAGGCCAACCTAAATACGGATGTTCATCTTAAGACTGTGATGAATTTGTGTTCTTTTACGTACACACTAATTCTTCCTTTGCTCTGAACTAGTAATTGCGTGCCGTGGGTGTTCACTTGCATATTGTGAGTCTGGTCTTTGGGTAGTAGTACATATGCATGTATTATACAGCAATTATGCCAACGTGCGTTGATTGAAGGTAATTATGTACCAAAAGCATGCACGGCCTAACAATTTGGAGGTCAGGGACCAGGATCACTGTACATAGCATCATCATCTTAACTCGTATGTCATCATGGTTCACACTGGAACATAAAGTTATTTCTCCAGGATGAGCTGACCCAACTAAAGGGCGTTCATTCCTTGGTTTGCTTGTATTTTTTGTTATCGGTAACTACTGCTGTAATTGACCTGTAATTTACTTATTACATTATTGGGCAGGGACCTTACTTTACGTTACTTCTCTTAACGGATAAATCGGACTGATAAATGTGTATTTAGGTTGAAGGTGTGCTGCTGTGCATGCAACTTTTGATTTCTGCACAAGGTGGACTGGACTAATAAGGGAATGAGTTTGATTTTTGCAGTCATCATCACCGCCGCCTTGTTAGCACGTCAAGTATAATGTTTTATGTAGATGATCTTTGTAATGAAGATTGCAGTTACATCATTCTTCTTCTGGTATGATTCATATCCTCTCCGCCAATACGACGGTTGGTTTAGGTCGTTGGTTGGTATTTTTGACGAAAATAGTAAATAAAATACCTCGCGATTGGTATGTATGGTGTCACCATAAAAATGTGGATTTTATGCAGTACCATTTTAGTGTGGAATTTTTTTTCTACCTGTCAAAATTCCCACGGAGTAAAAATGAAATGAATAAGGAGACACGGGCCAAGGCGAAAGGCGACAATGAATGAGTGGATAAAACCAATCTAAAAGTACTCATCAGGTATGTCGTTTTGTTGTGTCGGCTAAATTCAGGGATTGAATTGTCGAATGTAAATTTTAGGTACATCAACATCATCACATCATCTCAAAAAACTTGAGATTTGCTTTAGCCTTACTTAATAACAAATGTCATTCTTCCTTCTATTGTGGTACCCTACTCATCAAGAGCAAGCAGTAAGAACGAGCGATTGTGTGTGTGCAAACTGTTGGGGAAATCCCCCATGATATAACCTTGCCTCTATGAAATTAATATTGCATCCAACCAACATTGTAATAATAATGTTGTACTTTCGTCGTTGTGTTGTAGTGCATGGCCGTTGAAAGTATTAAAGGTTGAGACAGAAATGCATACCTGAGAGCCACACGAATGACTCAACCAACGTGAACTCCTACCGGCTAGACGATTTCTTAGAGTGTAAAGTAACTAACTCGTAAACTTGGTTCATTTTATGTACAACAATGTGTTTAAGCCAGAGCATCAGCATGGCATAGGACAAAGGCTATTTTTGGCACATCCGCGAAACGATTTCGAAGAAACTCCTTAGGAATTCCTTGTCGTCGTTTCGTTGCATATGACGCACCTCTGTTGTGTGACAGCATAGAATAGCATGCAGCACAGGTGTATTCATGTATTTATCTAACGTCACACCAACCAAACCTGAGCATGAATTTAATACTTCTTAATGAATGTTGAGCTAGGAATTTGCGATATCAAGGAATGAGAGCAGAATTCTATTATTTCCATGATTTTTACTTACTTACACGGATCACTGTACAACCGGGGCGGAAGTGGGGGCCGCCTGCGTGGGCCGGGCCCCTGATTGAAAATGAGATGAACCATAATTTCCGAACTAATTGAGACCTAACTATTTGGAGAGACGGAAGTCATTGGCAGGAGCAGGCAGAGACATTTATTGGCATGCTATTTTCCTCCCCGGTATAATCAGCATCTCGAGCATGGTCTTGAGTAGGGCGTGTGTGTGTAACATCAACCTTGACACCTACACAAATACACACACTTTTTTGACCGGACCTGCTAACAACCCAATTAACTAAATAACTGGATTGGTTGGAAAAGTCGAGAAACTATGATGAAATTATAAATAAAAGTTCTTCCACCTCCACCACCACCACCTCCTCTTTTTCATGACTAAAAAATGGTAACGATGTCTCATCCGTCTATAAATATTGGAAAAATCACTACAAAAAAAGTCTCGGAGATGGGTCATCCCCTTGTTAAAAAAACGGTAATGTAATGTCTCATCCGTCTATAAATATTGGAAAAATCAGTCCAAAAAAAAGTCGGATGGGTCATCCCCGCGTTTTTGCCCGATAAAATAAACACACACACATACAGACACAAAGATCTAAAAACACCACTACAAATTTTATGGGAACCACATTGTTTAAAGTGATTTGCACGTCATTGCCGTAGTACGGAGAAAATTATGAATGAAATTGATGTACGGTTGCATACATGAAGTCAGGATAGGAGTCATACTCGAGGTGATGTCATAACCGTTTAGAAGAAGGAGAAGGGTTAAGTCAGTCTTAACTGAGGAGTGAGTCGAGGAGAATCAAGTGGCATATGTAAAAAGCATGAGAAATCCCGATGTGCTCTGACATAGTAAAACGTAATGTATGCACTGGTTAAAAAGGAGCTTATTCTTATTATTATTATTGGTCGGGTTAGGATGTGGTATGGATGGATGGTTAGTGAGATTCAGGAGCTATTTAGCCAGCCACCACGGAAGAAGAGGAGAGACGACATATCATTGCAATACATACAATTTGGGTGGGTAAAAAGCGGCTAAAAAAGTGTATACAATGATGCATACGCGATACTCTTTTGTGGGTCTGGTCTACCTGGGCAGTGGGCAAAGCATGGATCATCATATACATACAATAATCCATCCATCCATAGGTGAGAAAGCCCATACCCATGAGTCCACACTCACCACTCTGCAACATGCTTTAGGAAATTGGCTCATTCATTTATAAACGATTCTCACCAGCTTTGTGTTATTAGTCGTCTTCTGACTTTCCAACTACAAGTGTCATAATAAAGTGGTCATCGTTCACTATTCACTAACAGACTCGCTACACATTTACATGGCAAAGTTCAATTGTCAAACTTCATAGAGTTTCATTTACTACGTACGTATGTACAAACACAGTCTCATCTCTCTGTCTCATCGTTGCTAAAAATCATATAAATACCACCTTACAATCCAGTCCGAGCACACACTTGTCATTTGGTCTCACTTGGGACGACACGTTGGATAAAATAAAGTATGATAAAAATCTGAGATATCGAAAAAAGTGACAAAATAAGAAGTGACATTACATTATTTTAGTGGAAAAAAGAAGTGTTTTGTGAGAGTTGTTAAGAAATAAATTTTCGGAATTTTTGTTTTTTGAAAAAATTGTTGATGCTACTTCTCGAAACGTTTCTAATTATTCAAACGTTACGAAAGAAGAAATTATCATGGAAATCTGTCCAAGTTGTAGAGGTTCGATTGAACTAGAAATGGATTACAGAGTTACACAGTCGAGAGTCAGTGGGGAGGTTGAAGGTGAAGGTGGGTGTGGTGGAAATTATTCCTCACCCACGACACAAACCACCACGTGTCACTGTCACGTGTCGAGTCCTTACAGCCGCACCACCCCCTCTCACTTATCCGACACCACCACCCCCTCTTGTCTCACAGTTCCCACGAGACATTCCATCAGTCGTCGGGTTCGATACACAAATTCGGGTTAGTAGTCTCATCATATAATTTGCTTTACAGGAAAACTGCCATGTTTGGTTGAGACAGGCGAGTAGGTACGGATGGATGACTAATAGGTCGAGATGAGACATACATAATTTGTGTCTATGTTTATGTGTGTGTGTGTGGGTTAAGCTAAAAGTTGTAGAGACATTGTTTATAAATGATGAGTTGTTATCTGCCACGTACAAATGTATAGTAGTTCCGGTTTTGCGAAAAGTCTCAATCTGCCCCCGCAACTTGCATGCGTTTTTCTGGGGTCAACCTGTTAATAAGCTTCTTGCGATAACGGAGGATTGGATACTCACTTATTCAAAGAAGTTTATTAACATGTTAACTTTGTACCCACACGTAAATATTTATCCCAAGTTCGTCCAGTCCAGTCCAGGTTTTTAGGTAGTGAGGACAAATAATGTTAGGATGTTTAACTAATTTTATTTGGGAGGACGGATGGAAATTTTAGAGATAAAACTGATCTGCATGCAGTTCTCTAGGATAATGACACATAATTAATATGTACGTTCAACGTTCATATGAAGTCATTCATGCCACGATACCCATAACGCAACCGTTTTTCTCAATTCATTTCAAGTAAACGAGTCTTTTCAAAAGTACAAAGTTTGAGGAAGGAACAATTAAAGGTATAAAATACATAAAAACTGGAAAATTTATAGATTTTTTGAAGAAATAGAAACTACCGTATCGTGCAAAAGGAGGTATTTTTTGCTGGTTTGATGATACAGAATCGTGCCATTTATTTTAGTGATAATTGTATTGATTATTTTGAGAAATTTTTAATAATTGGGGTGATTTTAATGACACTTTCTCCGTTTTTTTGTACAGGACCACAAACTGCGTTCAAATTATTTATCTGGATTTTATTGGTATTTCCCTTATCAATGTCAAACCCTGTACCCTTGCAAGATCAAGAAGCTGGACCCTCTGCCTCCTCGTCTGGTCATCACCACAAGTCAAAACGACCGCATGACCGTCCCGCCAAGTGGGTGAACCCGTGTAGGATAGGATCCGCTCTTCCAGCCTTCCCCGTCGGGATGGACATCGAAATCGTGACACAGTCCGATTCGGAAATTATTTCAAATATTATCACACAAGTCAACAAAGCTGAACTGCAGGCTCGTCGGTTCATCGAGCTTTATGTAAGTGGAAATAATTTGCATTTTTTACGATAGAATCATCACCGGAAGCATGTGCCAAATCCGAAATCGGTTTGTAAATCCGAAATCTGTTTGTAAATCCGAAATCCGTTTGTAAATCCGAAATCCGTACAATCCGGATTTATATGTTAAACTATACAAAACCGATTTCGGATTTGGCATCAGTAGCATCAACCCTACATTTTATACGACTTTTTTACGATTCACAATTAATTATGGGGAACTTGAGAAATTTTAAAAATTTCGGTTAGTTATCTAACTACTTACCGCAACAAGTGGTTACCGTTTCGTACGTACACCGAACTCACCTTTCCACGACTTTCATTCATAAATCGAACCAAGAAACCGGGTGCACCTGCACATTTTCCGGGATTCGGAGAGAGTTGGGAAATGCATGGCTCGTGGTTGGTCGTGGTCAGCAGAATCTGCTGCATTACTCATCGCGTGGTGAAGTCACTGCTTGGCGCAAGGTGTTTTCTCCTCTCTCTTCATGGAACCGTCATTCATTCATCCCGGCACGAAACGAACGCATATACCAAGAAGTAATCCTAATACATAAGCTACGTAGATATGCACATGATGATTGGATTTGCCCCGAAATTGTGCGTGCGTGCTAAAGTATAATTCGTTCGCACTTTGCGAAAAGTTTGCATGCATAGAATTTGCACAGGTAGAGAGATTTGCACATGTATAACACACAAGCAGATGAATCCATATCATATTTGGTAGTATGTAGTTTCACTATTACGTGTTTTTATTACGGTTCGATCATCCACCCACCCACTCACAAACATGCAAAAAGTTACCTGCTCGCACCTTTTCCCTTCTTCCTCGTTCGTTGCAACCAGTTCCAGTGAAAGGCCCAGCCCTAATAAGAAGTGAGAACTGAGCCAATTCCGCGCACCCAGTCTCGCCTGCATTCCGCATTTTGAGATTTATTCGCAAATTCTTGGAATTAATTTCCAGCTGCGTTCCCACAATTTAATAGGGACAGGAAGCCACTGGCTCCACAAATTTTTGTATAAATACTGACCTGTCAAACGCCTCGTATATAATTACACAGCGTGCAGACAAAGGATCGCTTTTATCGCATAAAACTTGAAAGTTTTTAAAGATTTGGTTTTTTGATCGGCGACGACGGAGTCGTCTTGTCGTCTCTCACGTGATGAATCATCGTCAATATCGTTGCAGCCGGTCAGAGAGTTTAATACTTTTTTTTGCAAAAAAACTTGCCGTGTGGCTTTCATCATCATGTTCATGTTGTTATTGCGGTAAGATTGTGTGCAGGCAACGTCTCAATTATTTGGACTTACTTACTGCTTGCACTCTGGTATTTCCCCCCCCATAAACAAAGGAGGATGGCGATTTTGTGCGGAAAAATGGTAGTCGTTTGTTGTCTCAGATTGAGAAAAAGGGTGGATGGATGGATGATGAAAAATTATCGGATATGTTTGAGGCCCAGTCTCCTCGTTACTTAGTTTAAGTAAGATCTCATTAGACAAAGAAAGAAAGAAGTTCAAGTAGCAGCAGCGTTTATCGAGTATGAATTGAACGAGTGGGTTTGAACGCATTTATATAGAGTTAGTTATTAGGCGCAGGTAGTCGTAAGCATCAAGGGTCCACGTCCACTTTGTCCGGTGTGGTTTGGTGTGAGGTCCTCGTGATGATTACGACCATTTCTTCAAAAGAGTCAAAAGTACCACCAGCAGAATTGCCATTACCATTTCCTAACTATTTAGAAGTGAAAACATTATTATTCTTCTTCTCCTTGTTGTTGGTCACTTGGCTTGAGCAAGTACCTCCACCTCAGTAGATAAATAAATACATACTCCGACACTGATTACAGACCAAGGAGATCAACTCTGAAACTGATTTCTGTCAAATTTCCTATATCTGTAATTTGCCCGGTGGACCGCGGTCCGTTTTGTGTATTTTCTATCATTGCGAACCGCCACACCACATCAATTTTCCTATTCCTTCGACACACACAACACATCCCCCGTGTTGGTTTGGGTTCGTTAATGTGTGCCCCATTTTACAAATAAATCAAAACCAACAGGATGCCCTAGATAGAGTAAAAAAAAAGTTGTTGGCTTGTTTACCAATTAAAGAATTGTTGGTTATAAGTTTGGTTCATGAAACGGTCTGTCTCATGAATGAGTGACTCATTTATTTTATTTTATTGTTTCCCTCACTGCCTATTTTTTGAACATTTATACAGGAATAATAATTTGGAGCAATTATTGACTTATTATGCGGTTTGGGAGGATGAGGATGACTAATAGATAGGGGAACATGATAAGTGGTGGTTGGTGGGGTCCAAATTTAGACGTGCAACTTGCGGTGGTGGTGGTTCAATTAGTAGTGTCTGGTCGTATTAGTATGCATGCTTATCATTATCTGTGGCCGCGGAAGAAGCTGTGGGGACATCTGGGGATGTTAACATTGTAGGATGGGGGACATTTGAGGACATTAACATTGTAGGATGGGGGGAGGGACGGGTTTATATAAGATGGGGAAATGATACCGACATCGAACAACCCTGGGGACATTGTCCCTCTGTTTACACCCTTCCGCGGCCACTGTCCCTCCCTCCACCCGCACCGCTGGAGGAATGATGGCATGCGGTTTCTTTCTCTCTCTCGCATTTTTCTGCGGTGGTGATTTGATTTTTTCTTGAAGGAAGTGGGTCTCGCTGTTTTACGAAAATATGTTTTGTCTCAATGTGAATTCCAATGAGTGATTGTGTTTGACCGTTTTTCTTAAAACTGGGATTTTTAATAAATCCAATTCGACCCAAAGAAGAAGAAGGAACATGCAAAGCAAAGGATCTGAAATATGGAGTTAATAAGATGGGAGGGGCACAAAATGAGGTATTGAAGAGCCGCAAAAAGGTTCGGACATTAACGCAGTATGAGGCAAAGTACTCGTTGAATGGCGAAGGCACAAAAGAAACTCCAACCTTTCGACAGTGTTTCTAACTTCTTCTTGGACTAATATCAAGAGAGAGAGGATTATTATTGGCTGTTTTTTTAGGAATGATTTTTCTTCTTGGACAATATGCAGTGTTCTTCTGGTGTTATTACCTGGGTCATTTTTTTGTACAATTTCACCTCAGAATGGATGTTATTACTTATTATTTGAGAAGGCGCATGCATCTCAAGGTTACGGTTGCCCTGCGACGACGACGACTTTGACACTTTTAACCGGCCTAATAGCAGGGCAACAGTAAAACTAAAGGGCTGCTGGTTATACAAATGATGATGATGAAATGAGCAGTGGAAACTTTTTCTCAAGGGTCGTAAATAAATAGGGTTGATGTACTGCAAAGCGGTATGTATGTATGTACGATATGTCAGCATTTTTGTATTTTTACCTCATCTCATAACATTCTTTTTCCCTTTACTTACAGTACAGAGAAACGTTTGACGAGGACTTGAGAGAAAGCGACAAGTTTGCAGCAGTCCATTACGATTTCCTCAACGAGATCAATGACAAGGTGAAGAAATCTCTGGGAGATAAATTGTCCAGGGATGCGTTGGAGGAGTTAAAGGTAAACAGACTTCTTTTCTATTATTATAATTATTAATTTGACTCGTTAAGAGTGTCCTTTTGACCATATTTCCGTCCGTCTTAATGTGTGTAGGATTGTTTGATTGGAGAAATTAATTGTGACATCCGGTCATGTCAATTATTTAGCTTGTTGTTTTCTCCAGTGTGATCTTTGCCCTTCGACACCCCCGTATTTTTTTGGTCCGAAATTTGAGCGAGTAGGTCACTAAGAGATGGATTAATTGATGATTTGATTGTTTCCAATTTTCAGATGGCTGAAACCCTTCGCTCAATGTACACAGGACTGCAGATGTTTGCAGGTGAGAGGATTTTTGATTGGAAACTTATGTTTTTTTCATATGGACAATATTTTCAATATGGTTTGACTTAATTTTGCTACAGTTGGACTAGAACAGATCGTCCTGGACCAGAGCGTTTATGGGGGATCGTTCCACAAGGACTTTCAGGAGACAGAGTACCAATTAAAATACGTACGTTTTTATCGATTTTAAATCTTCCTAAACTTTTCTGCAAATTCGTCCTATTTTTTGCACGCTTGCTAATCAATTTTTGCAACTCTAATCCTAAGTTGAGAAATCACCACCCAACTTACACCACACACACACGTACACAGTTGGCTAATTAATTATACGTACGGCTGCTTAATGTGCAAAATGATGCAGGATCATCATGTATGGCAAGAAAGCACTATAAAATTTCGATAATATGATACACACCAGCATCACAGCAAGTACTATTAAGCATCATTACGTATGTACATATGTATGTACCATTCTAAAATTGGACAAATTCAGTTTGATTGTTTCACCGAGACTCAGGTGGATGTAAGCGAGGCGAGGTAACAAACAATGTGTCAAGTACTTTTGTACGTGGTGAAAGGCAGGGGCACCACCAACCAAAAATCTCACCCTCTCCTCCACCGCACATGTTTTTCCCTTCTTGACTAAATAAATCGGCATCAAGATGATCAGAACAAGCCCCCAACAAGAACAGCATTCCTCACATCACATGCTTCTACTCAATAATGTGTACGTAGCTGTACTTGTACGAGTGAGATTTGCTGTTGGTGGGTCTCTGTTCTTTGATTCTTCTTATTGAATAGCTCATCATGCCGAGAAGTGTCCCGAAATTCTCAGAAATGGAATATGCCATTACAATTGCTGTACATGAAGTAATTGATGTTTGAAACTAAAGACTTTTGCCGTCACAGAATGTACACTTCACTTAATTATCTCCTGCTTTAGCCATTGTTGTCTCTTCTTCTTGAGGAGAGTCTCATCAAGCAAGAGTACATTTGGATTACTACCTAAATGTACAGAGTCAGATATTGCCCCATGTTATGCACGTGTAGGTAGCTACCTCTGCAATATTTTCAATTTACAAATTACATCCCTTGGTCGACTATCAGGCATCAATTATAGTCTTTTTTTTCTTACTTGATGTATGTGAAATCATGCCATGGTGCAATCGTTGAGAGGATTTTTAGCGAAACGGGTTTGGTTAGTCGAGTTAGTGTTTTAGACTTTTCTTTTAAGGCTGGATCTCAAAATTTCAAATTGCCCCAGATCGCATCTCTGATCTGATCTCATCTCGGTATCCCTGCATGGCAACAAAAGTGTAGTATACAGATTGATAAATAAATATGTAGGTACACAAGTTTCCCGTTGTTTTTCTTGGGTTGCTGAACTTTCCATTCCATTCATCTCTCTACCTCCAATTAGGGATGAGACGATGTATTTGTAGATGACGAATGCTTTGCTTTCCTTGCCTTTTTTTTACTGCTGAAGATGAACTTTTACTCGAATTTTGAATCCTGATAACTAATGTATCTTATCTCATTATGATTTCCAGGTCCTTTGTGAATTGCAAATCGCCATGCTAGAAAAGGGCATTCAGCACGAGGACGTGACCCGAGAAATTATGAGTGGTGACTACCGTGACATCGATTGCAAAACTATACGAAACATCAGGGACTGGGTCATCTTCCGAGACTACGTTAACACCTTGGAGTACATCCAACAGAGTTTTTCATACTTTCTAGCCACCGTGGATAGTAGTTAATAATCGTCGTCGTCTCAAAACCAGAAGAAGAAGAAGCAACCCACCCTTTAACAGTTTAATATCATTGTCACAAATTTTATGTTAACAAATCACCACACCACACCACCGATCAAGCCCAACCACCAACAGCCAATCAGCTTATCATATTTAAATATCTACTACAGCTAAAAGAAGAAGAAAAATAACGAATCCTGCCCAGAGACGAAGAAATGATAGTCCTTTTGATCGTCTCATTTTCACCAGGCTAAGCTACGACTACTCCAACTTGTTCCTCTCCTACTACTTCTCCTCTCAACATCGTACAAACAAAATTGATCCCAAAAGTGACTGGAAGAAGAGATGATGATTTTTTAACAATTATGATGATTACGTCTTCTTCGTCACCTCTCTCTCTCTCTGAATTATGTATGCATGATAGTCGTCCGTTGTATGTACCATCACGATTGATTGGCGTTAGCGTCGTCACAAATAACAACAAAACTCTCTTTCTTTATAATTATTATTAGTAATTATACCGCAATACCCAAGCTCCCTTGTTTTTATGTCAATTGTTGTCAAATAATGGAGAGAAGCTGAATCAAATTATAAACGATTTATTTTACATCAGATCAGAATGCGGGTATTTTATTTGAATATTCTGATTAAAATATGTGTCGTTGGACGGTACCATACATAAGTTTATCAATGTTCTCTTGGTGTTATCATATAGTTGTTCCTACATATTTATATGATAGTTGTAGTTTAGTGGTAGTTATAGATGATAGTTGAGCAAAATATGTCAAAATGTGAACGCATAGTCGGAATAGATGCTAGTGTGGGTGGATGGGACGACTGGAGATGAACCCAAAGATGCCTTTGCGAGAGTCACTAACTAAAAAAATTCACTTGTCCAAAAAAATATCCTATCCCCAAAAACTGTTTCTCTTTCTCTCTCAAAATTTTGTTTAGGGGAAGAGTTCGAGTAGATTTTAAGAGCGTGGAAGGCAAAGAAATTGTGAATTGCTATTAAGATAAGAAAATGTTACGAGTATGATTAAGGCGACGAGTTTAATGGGCATGGCGATGCATGAATTTGTGTGGGGGGTGGGGGGTGAAGTTGTTCTGTATTATTACGTTATTTATTTACACGGATATAGTTACGAGTTACGTATTGTTTTTAATTATTGAATGCAAATATTTTACTGTAGTTATGTTTCGTTAATTGTTCGATCATCAAAAATCTTCTCAGGTTTACGATCCATCCAATCCAGTAGTTGGATAAGATTAAATATGTAGAAGAACGCGCATGCACAAGATGATATATATTATTATTTATTGCATTTTATTTTTGTTGACTGTGATATGTTGCATAGTTTTGTCTTCATATAATGTTAAATTACGTACGAGTAGTAGGTCGAATAAATCGAAGCGTATTTTGTTTAGAAAAAAAGAATATTTGTGTTGTTCTGATTTCATAATGGATTTCAATTTTTAAAATTGAAATTGGATTTCAAAATTTCATCTCTGCATTTGCATCAATAAAATTGGGCTTGAACACTTTAATTTTAATTGAATGAGGTATCACAAGCGAATTTATTATTGATTTTTTTTCTTGATAATGTCAATAAACAAGTCACAAATGGGAAATTACAACTAATGTGGCATAAAAATAGGGAATTTTTTCATATAACCGTAACCGTAACCCGTATCGTACTGTACGATGTAGGAAAATGATACGTAAAAAAAGTTGAGAAACATTTGTACGGTTTGTACATTTTTTCTACTTTTTACGTTTCTTTTTCTTGCTTTGGTCTTTCTTCCAAGCGGATGAAGACGAGGCGGGGCTATCATCGGCAGTAGTTTGTCCTTTTGCACCAACCTTACTCGTCATGTCGCTGGAATAAAAATTTTGTTAGTTGAAAAGTTCAGAAATATATAAACTTGAAATAGTTGAACCACTTACTAAATGGCTGACGCCGTGGAATCTGCCCCTTGGGTTCCTTTACCCACATCGACTCTACCCTTTCTCGTCTTTTTTGGACGATATCCCGACCTTTCATATTTCGAGAGCCAACGTTCTGGATCCGGTTGTCTATCTGGGTCGAAATTAGCGGGGATTTTAGCCTTCTTCTTTTTAGATTTAGACTTTTTCGGCTTGTCTTTGCCATCCGTGGATAAATATTTTGCCGGTGTAGGGGCGGAATCCGGCTTAAGGCCTTTTCTAAACATTTTCACATGCGCGAGCCAATTCGGCGATTCTAACACTTGTCCGTCCACGTTCGAAGTGGCGATGGGTGGAAGCAGCTTACTTAAAGATTTAGCCTTTTCGACGTTAATCTAATGTAAGAGCACATAACATAATTATATGTAATATTACTGAAATAATTGAACACAGTTTAAAATGTGTACCTGAGAATAAGCAACAATTAATTGAGCAAGGACAAGCGGGTCGCTGTCATTTGTCGTTTTGCGCAATTCTTCCAAGCTTCTAGCCGCTCCTTCGTGATCCCCTTGCGCCATCATGAACGAGGCACTATGTCTCCATATAAGTTTCAGGTTAACATTATTGGCCTAATTATGTCAAATCAAAAATAATAAACATAACTACACACATTTAACAAGGACAGGATAGATTGGCAAATAACTTACCCCAGATTTCCTATGAAAATCAAGGGCTTCCTTTAAAACCTGGCCAGCTTTATCAAATTTCCCACGATGATGATACAGCGTGACGATGGCACTAACAATTCCAGGCCGATAGTAGTGGTCGCCAAGCTCCTTCATAAAGTTTATTGCGGGCTCCGTATAATCCTGGATTTTGTGAATTAAATAATTATTATTAATTGACGAGTACTACAAAGTTTGATGTTGAGAAGAAAAATAGGAAATCTTACATTTTCTAGCGCTATTTGAATTAATCCTAGACTAATCTTTAGCCAAGAATCGGAACCCTTCACTTGCTTAGCTATAAATTCTTTCCTCGCCACGATAATATTTTCCGTCCAAGTCTTCAAACAGCATCTTATCATTAACACGTCCTCAGCTAACTCTGGATACCTTGTCTCCACCAAGGCGCATAACCTTTCAGTTTCCGCCGCCTATTAATTCAGTCGAAAATTAGTTACCAAATCAAAAAAAAAATCAGGAAAAATGTTAAATCAATAACACATACATGATGAATATGTAGGTCAAAAAGACACTCATTTAGAAGCATGTCCCTCCTCTGCATGTTGTTCATTTTAAGGAGAACTTCGTCCATGGTCATCACCCGAAGTCGTTTTTTAGAATCAAAAATGCTGCAATCTTTGTTCCCACATAAGATGTTGTTGGAAATGACGGCCGTCAAACCGATGTCGGAGGGTTTGTCTTTCAATATTTTGGAATACATTCCCAACGCTTCCTTCACACGACCTAAGACCTGTATGCAGTAGGCGTGTTGACACCTGTAACAGCAAAAACCAAATGTAACGATACAAATCTTGCGACAAATTTCTCCTTTTTTCTACACATGTCTTGATAATAGCATTCGAAATATTGGCAAAATAAAGCAAAAGTTGTCCTCGTTTTTACACTAAACTTTGTGTAATCCAATTATTAAAACGTCACAATGTCGTTGCTGATTTTACGAAATAAATTATAAAATAATAGTGTAAAACCTACTCGATTAAGGCCAACTCATCCACCATATCTTCCTCGCTGGCACCTTCCTCTTGTAGCGTTTCTTTCGCCAAGTTTTCCGCTTGCTGAAGCAATTTTTCAGCCTCTACTATCTTTCCCTCTCCAATTAACCCGACTGCATGGTTGTACAACATTTCGTAGGAATCCCCTTGGATATCCTTGACCCGTCGGGACTGTTGTAAAACAAAAATTAGCATCACAATTCACCCAAATGTAAACATTTCAAAAGACAACTCACACTGCCCGCAAGTTTAAGCGAGGCCGCAATCGCGGACAGATTTGTCCTCCGTTCATCATCCATTTCATCATCGGACGTTTTGAGCAGATCGCTCAAAGAGTCGTAGGCACTCTCAAAGTTATCGAGCCGATAATGGATCTGGTACATGAGCTCGACTTTTTTAAAACTGTTGCTCTGCCACGAATCGAGGACACTTTTCGCCTCCTCCATTCGCTGAAGGCGGTACAAACAGTAGGCCTTTTCATATTGGACGGAACTGGAAGGATAAGAAGAATGCGCGATAAGTTCATCTTAATATCGATAAGTTCTCCAAGTATCCTTATTAAAATTTAAAACTTACCCAGATAGTTTAGACGTATCATTAATTAAACTCAACGCTTCCGCAAACATACCTCGATTGACGTGACACACAATCTTGGTTTTAAAGGCCACCTCGTCATTCGGGAAGAGATGAAGGACTAAAATGAGAAACAAAATAATAATTAGGAAAATGTTTAACTGATAACATAATTTAATACAACTCCCGATCATGATAAGTATTTTTTTTTTACAGAAATACTTATTTTACTCATAATAAAGTATTTCGTTGTCCATAAAAGTACTCAATTTTCGCAGAAATGATAATACGCGTTAAGATTTAAGATCTCTTCAAAATTTTCAAATTAAAAAAAACTTTACAAATTTTATACGGATTTCATCATGATGAGAGGTAGTATTCCGGAAAAAATATTAATTATGGTCACAAAAAGTATTAAATTATCATCCGTTAAATAGGATCCAAATAATTAAAAGCCCCAAAAAAATATTTAACAACTTATTTATTTAACTTTAACCATATTGTCACTCACTTTTACTCGCAACTTTAATCGCCCTTGTATCATCTTGACTTTGACAAAATTTTTGCAATTCGACATACAACGCTTGTTTTTCCTGCTCCTTTTTCTGCTGAGCAGCAGTGGGGGTGGTCATATTAAATTTATATTTAATAAATTTAATATGTTTGTTGTTTAAAAAAAACAGACTGGACGTGAATCTTATGCCAAGTGAGAGGAACGGGTTTTGAAGAGTTGGCACATATTTTTGCCCACCAGCCTGCCTCTTGCTTGATGTAGATGGTGCCTAACGCCACATCGACACCGTTGCGCCACACCACCACCAACTTTGTTAATATCTTATCATACCTCTGCATAACTGATAAGTTCGAAACCTTTTGTTAAAAAAGGTACGTACAAAAGTTGAGAATCGATTCGTTCCGGTTGAGCTGAAGAGAAAGTGCAAAGTTAAGGTAGGAAAAGTTACGGCTAATTTTTGCCCCTCGTCGTCATCATGATCATCATTTTCGTAAGAGAAACATATATAATCCCTGGCTTCGTTTTTTTGAAGTCTCGTTCAGAAATTTATGTACAAAGGAGTTCGTCCAGGAGGAGGAGGAGGATTGATGGGAAGAAAAGACAAAAAGCGGATTTGATCTTACCCAAGAGATTTGCATTTTTGAATCCTAGATGAATACTAATGTCGTGATGGTGCTGGTCTGGTGGTGGGGATGGGATGGTGTTTTGTATTCCTTAATTTGAACCCTTTATCTTTCAATGCATATGCAAAGTGGGATTTTGTAGCTTTTCTTCTTCCAACGGTAGCTAGCAGACGTCTTCAGGAGAAAATCTTGCACTTTCTCCAGTCCAGTGGCTGCGGAAGGAAGCTGTGGGGGCATTAACATTGTAGGGGAGGCCCGGATTTATATAAGATGGGGAGATGATGCCGACATCGAACAAGCGTGGGGACATTGTCCCGCGGCCGCTGACTTTCTCTCTCTCTCGCTTGACTTGACTTGGTAGAAGCGTGTTGTCAGTCAGAGAATCAGAGAAGACGAGGACGACGACGACGAAGAAGAAACGCGTCCTGGCAAATGTGTTGAATATTATGGATAAGAAGAAGAAGGCAGCTAAAAGCTACAATTTCTTTCCCACTTTCACCCAAACCGTGTGCTATAGGAGGTTGTGCTGTGCAGTGGCCGCGGAAGCCGTTTAGTGGGGACATTGCCATTGTAGGAACGGGTTTATATAAGATGGGGAGATGATGCCGACATCGAACAAGCGTGGGAACATTGTCCCTCTGTCCTTCCGCGACCACTGAGTGAGCCTCCTTGTAAATATGTAACCTCCTCCTCTCGATCAAGTCATCCATGCCACGAATCCATCGTAGCAGGTTGAAAACACTTTTCTTCTTCCCAAAGAAAGTGCTTCTTCTCGTCCTCTTCTTCCAAACTTTGTTGAAGGGAATCCGTTGTCAGCCACTTTTGGTTATCGAGTCAGGCTTATAATGTTTCTTTCTCTCCCACGAAAAAAAAATTCATTCAGTTCTGAACCCACCTGGGACAACATTTCCATAAAAGTTGATAACTCCTTTCGATAACTGGGACGACGACGACGACAGGGCTGACCTACTATGAGATGCATAAGTATTCATGGAAGGAATGATCCCCTCTCCTCTCTTGAAATGGGATACTTTTTATTTTTCACAAATATTTTACAGGACTTGAATGACTCAATAAGTCCTGCTCATACATACTTTGCGACAACTTTTTTGAGTCCCTGGGTAGCGCTCGGTGGAGAAACTTTCTCCTTTTTCTTCTTCCCAACTTTCTCCTTGCGACGAGGGTGTGGACAGTGGCCGCGGAAGGGTGAGGGGACAGAGGGACAATGTCCCCACGGTTGTTCGATGTCGGCATCATCTCCCCATCTTATACACACCCTATTTTGCAATTTAAATGTCCCCACATGTCCCCCACCGCTTCCGCGGCCACTGTGTGTGGATCCTATTCGATGACGGCAATACCGTGCATGCATAGTTTTGTTAGTTAGTTTAGTTTTACATGATGAATTATGCTACAGGAGGGACACCTTGGAGAACAGAAAGGTGGGTCTCTCCTTCCGGTTAAGATATTCGGTAACCTGGCTCTGGGAGAGGGCCTTTACATTATTTTTATACCTACAAGAAAGAGAGAGAGAGAGAAATGAGAAGAAGAAGCGGCACTTACTTCCGCCGGAAAAGTTGTGTCTCAAGGAAAAAGATGAAGATGAGCTTGGTCTGGTCTATGTATTCTCGCAAGAAGAGTATGCATGCATGCAGAGGAGTGAGATGAAGGAGGAGGAAGTGACACGGATAATGGAAACCATTACTAATACCATTAAGTCTCCCGTACATACGTACGTACACACGTTTCGAGCCTCTCCAAATTTTAGTCGGATGACGATATTGTGTTTCACTAATTGAAATGGTAGCAATTGAAACAAAAAGGAGAGGAGAGGAGAGGAAAAGTAACAAAAAACAGGGCATACAGTCGTGCTTAAATAAGGATGGTACTACATATCAGTGGCCGCGGAAGGTGTGGGGACATTAACATTGTGCAGGATGAGGGAGAAAGGGACGGGTTTATATAAGAGGCGGATATCGAACAACTGTGGGGACATTGTCCCTCTGTCTGCAGCCAGTTCTAAATACATATCACTGCGTAGATAGGATTCTGCATGTGTCCAGTGGCCGCGGAAGCTTGAGGGGACAAGCTCCCCCCGGGTATCATCATCTCCCCATCTTATATATACCCGTCCCTCCCCCCATCCTACAAAATTAATATCCCCCAGCTTCCGCGGCCACTGTGGTAGGAATGTGTGTCTCTATTTGTGTGCTGGGGGAGGAGGAGGGGGGACAATAACGTTGATGAATACGGTGGAACTCTCTTCCTCGATCGGTGGTGGTGGTGGTGCTTGAGCTTTTCTGCCGCCGCGTCTCTAGAGAAAGGAATCCCAAACGAAAACCGAAACTCAATTTTGGAGCTCCATTATTCGATATCGCCGCAGTTTGGTCGTCAATATAGTTTATCCGTCTTCTTGCACTCTGTGAAAAATCTTGGCCGTATATTTGGAATTTGATATTACCTTCTCAGCCAAAAGTTGCAAATCCAACCAACTGCCTCCAGATTATGGTCCTCCCTCCTGCCTTCTTCTCCCCTTTCAAAGCTGTCAATGTGCATTTTCTCCTCGCGATCCTGCTTTTTTCCTCGCCGGCAAGGCAAAGATTCACCAAATCGAACACAATCACAGTAAAACCCTTCGGCTTTCGGTCTTGTCTCGATATCATTCATTCATTCAGGCTCCATGTTAATATTTTCATCTTGTTGGAGCATCGTCGACTGGACGGGGAAAGCAAGAAGGGGAGGCAGGAAATTGGCAGGAGGATGCAGAGTGGCCGCGGAAGTGGTGGTGGGGGCATTGGGTAGCTGACGAAATACGAAATTATGAGGATATTAAACAGCTTAATATGCATATAAGTATATATGCATATCTGTGTACAGATACTGCATCCAATGCATATTTGTACAGGTCAACAGTGGCCGCGGAAGTGGTTGTGGGGACACGTGGGGACATTAAAATTGTAGGAAGGGGAGGGTTGATTTGTATAATATTTTATTTTCTGTTGACGATGAAATACACAAATTGCATAAATCAGCTTGACACCAAAATTTCTTTAAAAAAACGAGTATTTGTTTAGCATTTTGTGGAAAACTCGATGGTAAAAAGTAGATTTTTCTTCTGAAATTTTGGAGTCTTCTCTATATTATAAATTGGATTTTTCACGTTTTTCATCCAATAACTCTAAAATTAGAAGCTACTTGAAAAGTTTGATTGTTTAGTATCATTATGAAATCAACACGGAAAAATTTTATTAAAAAACCAGTACTCCTAAACATGTTAACATTATAGGATAGGGGAAGGCCGGGTTTACATAAGATGTAGAAATGATGCCGACATCGAACAACCCTGGGGACATTGTCCCTCTGTCCACACCCTTCCGCGGCACAACTCTGAAGAGGAAAAAGTCATCTTTACCTCCTTTCTCCTACACGTTACTCTTACATTTTTACTTTCGCATATGCAAATAAACATGGCGCAGAAGAAGAAGAATGACAGGAGAGGCTCGTTTAATAATGTCGTGTCCCATTTATTGGATACAGAAGGATTATTATGTTTCCGAAAGTGGAGTAAGCCATCAAGTCGAGAGAAACAGAAGGTGCATGAACCCTTGACAAGACGACTAATGAAGGAAAAACCCGTGTGCCTGGGTATCCAGTGGCCGCGGAAGGGTGAGGGGACAATGTCCCCACGGTTGCTCGATGTCCGCATCTTATATAAACACGGCCCTCCACTATCCTAATGTCCCCACACCTTCTTCCGCGGCCACTGCTTATAGGCGACATATTTCCCTTTTTTTCTTCTTGCCTTTCCCTATCCCAAAACTTTTATAATCTTTTAGTGTTTCTTATTAAAAGTGGAAAAGTTGCTGGTACATAAGTAGCGAACTAGTCATTTATTCGTCATAATTGAGTGAAAAGTTGGGCTGGAAAAGTTCATAATTAAAAACATGGTGGAAGAACAAAGTCAAAGTGAGCAGCGTGCTGGAAATCGATGGAAGACAGGTAATAAATAAATTGAACGAAATAATAACCTGAAAAAAATAATCAATCTTTCCCGTAGTTTTTTTTATATAGTTGTGATTTTTTTTAGGTGAAATTGACTTCACTTTCACTTAGCAAAAATGTTTCTGAGCAAGAAAATAGTGCAGATTTGCAGTAGTAATTTTTGCAAGAGAAATTGTTGAAAAATATGAAAATTGATAGTCAATAAATAAATTGGACGAAATAATAACCTAAAAAATCAATATTTCCCGAAGTTTTGATACAGTTGTAATTTTTTAATGTGAAATTGATTTCACTTTCACTCAGTGGCCGCGGAAGAAGCCGTGGGGACATAAACATTGTAGGATAGGGGAGGCCGGAGGGACGGGTTTGTATAAGATGGGCAGATGATGCCGACATCGAAAAACCGTGAGGACATTGTCCCTCTGTCCCCTCAAGCTTCCTCGGCCACTGCTTTCACTTAGCAAAAAAAACCTTCCCTGATAAGAAAATACTAAAATTTTTTCCCAAAGTAATTTTTCCCCGAGAAATTGTTTCCCCCTGAAAAATATGACCCTCATAACGAACCACTTAGGCTTTTGT